AATACTTCAAACTGGGCAGCAAACAAGTCATTTGCCTGAGCCACTGGGAGAGTAATGGAAACCCAGTCTCCGTTAGGCGAGATGACGGTGGGCTTTAGACCGTTCGCGGACGCAAACGCATTGAAGGCAGCGACTGTTTCTGCTGAAGGCTGTACGAAGGCTTTGACCTTCGAATTATCTATCAGCAAAATAAGGCTGTTGATATGAGGAAAAAGCGAACCTCATCCATCGATAGCCACTGGCGGAATTCTGGGCTTCCAGGCGTGGACACGGACGTCAGCTTCTGCTCCAAGCCGCCAACGTTGTTGGCAGTCAAAGCGACACGAAGCGTGAGCGTGTCGTTTGCAGGCGCCGCGCCTTGGCTCACGAACCCAGCGGGAGCGGCTGTACGACTCTCATGCACGACCATGCGGCCTGCTGAAAGCGCGCATATCGAAAGGGCAACCAAAAGCTCACGGATGACCATCGTCAAGGCGCAAGAGGAGGGTGCGAACGACCAAGCGAATCCCTAGCTTTTAAGTCCATCCCGAGTAGAGCAAAAGACGCGGCGATTGCGCCTTGCGCAGTTGTTCGTTATCGAAAGCTGCTTGAGCATCCTAACGTGACGCATGGGTGCTGCTATTTTGACCACGATAACAAACGCTCCGGTATATTTATAGGCTTGACAAACCTTACAGGGACAAGAATTCTCGCGGAGGCGGGAGACCGGTTGTCGTTGCGTGGGTCTGGGAAGTTTGCCGTCTGGGTAGTGCCTGGGGGAAAGGTCTTCTGAGAATACACATCCATTTCGATAGACGAGGAGATACCGCATGACCTTCTTGACACGAGCAAAGGCTAGCATGGGCCGAGGAAACATGGTCCGGCACAAGTCAGCTAATACCGAGCCTCTCTTGATGAACGATAGTCATAGACATGGATTTGGCGGAGATAGTAGGCAGTTTGGGAGAGCACAGGGATTTGAGAGTTGCACTTGAGAGGACGTCGAGAGGCCTGCCGGTGGGATGCTGAAGTTAGGGGTCCCCACCGTAACTATAATTACGGTTTTACGGTCACCCGTAACCGTACCGTAAGGACCAAAAATCGCGATTTTACGGTCCGTATTCTTACGGCCGTAACCGTATACGGTGGGGACCCCTAGCTCAGCCTGAAGTCTGCAATTTCGAATTTGCGCACGAATTTCACACACTCGGAGGAACAAGTGCGACTCTTTCTGGATCAGCGTGGACGCTGGCAGCCTGGTAATAGCGTTAGCAATTGATTAACTGAGAAGGACGCCGGGCGGAATGTTGACCCGCGCGACATGGCGGTAAATGGGAAGGGTGTTGTGTGGTCGTATTTGATTCTTCATGTCGGTGATTGCCGCTGCAAAGCAAGAAAATCGTTCAAATAAATAAATAATGGGATGGGTCGGAAAACACGCAGGACGGTTGTCGGGATAGCCTATGAGCAAAGTCCAGGAAGTAGGGTACGCAGCTCAACCCGCTACACTTCGCCACTTCAATGGTCAGTCCTCTTCACTGACTTTCTTCTCCATATCGTAGGGGGTTGCTCTTCTGTATTTTGCCAGTAAGGCCATAGTTTCGCAACGAGTCGAAACATTTGCTCTCTGTGTGATCCCGCAGCGTTACGCTGACCTCTGGAATTTCGGGCTGCGGATCTGTTGCCTGGTCAGCTTGACAGAATATCCTGCGAGTCTCTCTGACCTTCAGGCATAAACTTCATCTCCATCATTTTCTTCAGAAATCTTCGACTCGAAAGGCTAGCATCGTTTAATTCTTGGCGGAAGGTGAAGATCGGATTCGGCGCTGCAACACATCTTCGGACGAGCGGGATATGAGAGTCGTAGTACAACATGTTGGTAAGGCCAAGAAATATTTCTCTGTGCCACCGCTCGTGGAACAAAATCTGTACCCCGCGTAAGCGCATAATCATAGGCATGATTTTCAAATTCGACTCACCCAGGGTTTAAAATCGTCGTGTGAGAGCACCGCCAAGGCCTCCGCGACTCCGCGACCCATACTCTGCTGGGCCGCTTCGTTGGCGAGATTCGCAAGATCGTGTCTCACAGCATACATCAAGACTTCGAATGGATGCTCCGAAGCAGAGGCCCTGATCACGATTCTCAGTAGGATGTTCTCGGGGATAGCACGTAACGCACTGCATTTGCAAGCGACATGGCGTCAAAGCAGAGTGGACATCGTATTTCTCGGACGCCTCCGCTAAACTCGCGAGCGTCCCAAATTCGAGCGAGTCGAGAGCCGGGGACGGGTCGTACATGAATTGAAACAGAAGATCGAGAATTTCCGCGCTTTCTGAAAGGTGGACGATCTCTTCGCAGCTCCCGGTCAAGGTAGCGTCCTCAGCATTGCAGAAGACGTCGGAGTGGGCCGCTAGATTCTTTCGATGGACCCTGAACAGCACCCCGTCACAGGAGGCCACCGTCATATCCGCATCGGAGGCGCAAACTAGATTGAACGTCAACTGAAATCGAAACGATGAAGGGCACCCCACATACACCTTTCTGCTATTCTTGTTGTCATGAGCAAGGGAAAGAGAAGTAGCTGGCGTGTGAGAGGCGCGACGTCAGTGTGAGAGCGACGTCGACAGTAGGCTTGTTAGTGGACAGTGGTAGACATCCACTTTAGATCCGGCGACTTACCAATGTACCGGGAGGTTGGCTCAGACTAGTTGGATAGCGGGCAGTGTGGGCAAATCCAGCTCTGAATCGGCGGGCCTGGCGCTACTTATCAGCTCGCGATGCGGGAAGAGAACTCACCTGGATACCCGCAGTCAAGCGATCTGATCCACTTCCGTCGAGCACTGTATAAACACAGCGGGCGTGTTTTATAACTGCTGATCCAGGATAACGATTGCGTCGTGGCTGGCAAGGTCTAGCTGGTGACAAGGATACTGCGTAGAAACGAACGACTCTGTGTAGAAACGATGAGGGTTAGTGACTTCGAATCAGCATAAGCAGTTCCAGGAGAAGGTTTTTCGAGTTGGTCAGCTAGCTGAGGAACAAAGCTATGTGAGATCTAGGATCTGAGAGACAAATGTTGTTTTATGTAACGTTCAACATCCAGAGCCGGCGGGAAAAAGAAAACCTCGTCTAGCAATGTCGGACGCCGGGAGTCGAACCCGGAGCTCCCACTGAATACCACCGGCGTCCAGAGCGATGCAAAGTGGGTGCGCACCGTGCACCACGTCCGATCTTGGTATACTCGTGTGCGGGCGGACTGAGTATGAGAGTTCTGCCTAGGTTTCGCTGTCATCAATTGTCCGTGGCATAAGATAAATCACACCGCTCTAAGATAAATCAGCACCGCTCCCGACGAAGGGAAAGATCTGCTCACTGTCTAGTCCTACCGGTCGACGTCGGCGTACTTGAGTAAGACTTCAGAACACATCAGAACACAAGCGTGTAATGTGTTTGTTGATTTGAGGTCGAGGGGAGAGCTAGAAAAGGCAAAAAGAAAGAAGGCTTACAAGTGGCCATTCAGATGTCGGGGATCGAACCCGTCCCGCTGCATACGTGATCTCCAGAATCAGAGGGAGTGTGCGCCGCGCCATGTCCGAGTTTCCTTTACCTGTCGAACCTGTGGGATAAACGTGGATAGAGGATGCACTGTGTCATCATGGACGGAACGCGCCATAATTCAAGCGTCGAGGTTTCTGTGCGGAGAATTACGGCCGTTCAGGCATGGATCCAGAGATACAGAGATCGCGAACGGAAGTCCTGTTCGAAGTTGCCGGAAGGCTGGCGCGGGCGATGTTGTCAAAGAGAAGGTGTTGCACTTAAAGACTGAGTCAAGAATTCGTGCGCTGGGAGGAACCCATAAGGGAGGGAAAGAAAAGGCACAGACGGACACCCGAGCGAAGCTGAGCGGTCTCCTTGCTAGACTAGCACAATGCGGGTTCGTGTACGCACACGGGGTCTTGCTGGAGTGACCGGTACGAATAGCACCCAGACGGTGACCCAGGAGCCAAAACCACCTGAGCACGAAAGTCGCAAGGTTGAGAGAGAAGGAGAGGGAAGAGCGTAAGAAGCAAGTTAGAATTGCCGCCGCCCCACACAGTGATCCGACGTGGCAGTGATGTTCCGTTCGATTGATTCCTCGCTGGTTGCATCGAAGTTGAACTTATCCCACAGTGCACACAACACTGGCACGGAGGGTCCACCGAAGATGAAGCGTTTGCAACACCCAACTAGATCTTAACCCAACAAATAAGTGCGTATACGCGACGTTGAATTTGACGAAGCTCCGTTCCCGACGACTCTGCGAACAGGAAAACTCCTGTGGGTTCTGCGATAAGTATGAGAGGTGTGGATACTGAGATTCGGGAAGCTACAGTTGCGCTGAGAAAATCCGGAGGCAAAGGCATAATTTATAAATTACTTCTGAACCGCCCTCTCGCGCGGATCCGGAAGTTAGCTGCTCTCAGTCAATCCATGCCCGTCGTCGAACAACTTGTTACATTGTACAAGTCAAACCCCCAAACAAAAAGAGGATGACGACTATCATCCGGATGCTGGGAGTCGAACCCAGAACCCCCGTTTCAATTTTTTGTTCGCTCCGATGCGAACGAGAACGAGTGTGCACCGTGCACTACATCCGAATTCAACCCTGCATTGGTCTGGGAATAGGTGGACAAGACTGCGTCTCAAAATCCGCGAATTGGTCAAACATGGCCTGCTACCCTCGTTGAATTGATGCATCCCACTGAATCAACCTCCGACTTTGAGTTCTCGTCTAAGTTGCAGTTGCATCACGAAGATGAACACACTGAGGGTAGCCGAATCATAAGGACGAGGAAAAAAAGTATTGCACAATGTGGACTGCATGATTATGTTGCTGGGAGTCAAGAAAGCGCAAACGCGGGTAGACCAACACCTGTTTGTCAATTTGACGATACGTCGATGGACCTGTTGTCGAGAACTGCATGGGGGAAGAATGGTATGCGACTTGTGTACGATGAGCCTGGAAGGGCCAAAAAAAGGTAGACACTACCGTGGTTCGAACACGGGACCTCACGATACATGGTAGCGGCAAGACCCATTGCAATCGTATGCTCAACCACTAAGCTATAGTGTCTTGAAGATCAGCCTCCCTGTTGAAGCTGAGTCGGGGCCCACCCGCAGTTGAGAGGAGAAACAGTGCTCTTTGCTCTTTTCTGGACGCGGCTGAGGAATTCGGATGGTTGGCTGCATGCACAAGGGAACAATGGGGAGTTTGACTGCGGCCGCACGTAGAAGCCTCGGCCCCTTCGCCAGGCTGCAATGTCAACCAGGCTGTCGTAGGAAATATGTGACGATCAACTGATGGCGCGCGTGACAGTCACATCCCTTGTTCTTTCCCGCATTGTCTTCATCTGCGCCTGCGCGACGCAGCGCCAAAACTCGCGTTTTATCTCGACGTCCGTTGCTATCTGCCCCCAAAAAAGCGTTGGCGCACCTTGTTCCCCGAACAATGGCCACAGATCACGCTTGTTAGCATAAAAACCTCGTTCGCTGATCCGGCCTGTTTTCCGCTCACCGTAAGCATACGGACGCGATTCCAAGCACAGCACCACCTGTAACACACAGGAACTACACTCATTAGAGTCGAACGGCTGAATACTCGCGAAATCACCCTTGGCCACACTAATCGGTGGATACTATGTGCTGGCCACGATCCTTCTGTTGTCGCTGCCCCGGACCATCATCTTTTGCGTGGCCACCCTCGCTGACGTTTGGGAGAAGCCCAAGACGTCCCGATCCTCCACAACCTGGTGCGTATCTTGTAAATCTTGCACATCGCATCGTTAATTCTGAATCTGTCTAGTTTTCCGGTGGGGTTCGTGGCCATGGGCACCGGTAAACAGCCCGGTCCCAGTCGCTCCCCCTCAGCCACCTGTGATATCGCCACGGCGTAAGAAACGCCCTCTGCACTTCCGCAGCCCGCCTCCGCCCCCGCTCGTTCAAGGCCCGCCCCCGCTGCTCGCCTTGCCGCCTCCACAATACACGATACCTTTCGTGCCGCAGACCGGGCCCCCGCACCTCAACCCCGATCTTTGCAGCCCTTACGGCCCCGTCCCCATCCTCGAATGGGACCTCACCCGCTTCCCCTCCACCGCGCGCCGCCGCGTCTCCCCGCACTCCCCCGACCTCACCGCCCTCGCGCTCTTCCCCCCAACGCCGCTCCTAACAATCTCCTACGCCAGCACCCCCATCCTGCTGCACTGGGAAAACAAATGGGGCCCCATCTTCGCGCGCGCACAAGGCGCGGCGCCCGGCGTCACGGTAGGCGACGTCCTCGATGCCATCTTCGTGTACTTCAACACCCCGTTGACGAATACGGACCGCCGGGCCATGAGCCTCGCGGCGTGGGGTGTTGTCTCCGACGCATTCCGGCGACGGATCGATGCACGGGACGGGCCGCATACACGTGCGTATAATGAGCAGCGTGGGCCGCTGAGGGTCGATGTGTTGGATCGCGCGACGGGGTTTGCGGGCTTAGAGTGTGTGGGGCATGGGTATCTTCGGATGATGCTCTGTGCGTGTTCGTAGGGTGCATGTTCGAAGTTCGAAGTTGGATCGAAGCTTGAACATTTTCTTGGAATTTCAACTCACGCTTTCTTGGTTTCTTGAATGGGCCAATTTGGCCAATCTGATTCAGACGTCCTTGTTCACGCACGCTACAATACTTGTACGATAACTTAACGACGGATGAATGTCACGGTAGATAACCTAACGGACTTTTATGATGTATCTTGAACCTCTTGTAGAGCATTCGACCCTCCGCTTTGAAACGTGAAACGTGAATATATACTTTGCGTCCGAAACCATGTTGCAGGAGAGAAAAAAGGAGATGTATTCATGACCCAGGCTCATTCGAACGAGGGAGCTAATGACGATGTATATAGTAATACAGTTCGCATTTGAAACGTACACGCCTCTGGGCCTTTCCCAACTGCAGGTAGGCCTACTTCGCACAAGAAAGGAGCAGTAAACGATTTATTATGAGTCCCACCGTAAACCTGTAATTTATCCTTATCCAATGGAAAACTGTTCGATTTTGAGATATACAAATCATAATTCCCTACGACCTGGCCACATTACCATCAGGACTGCAAAACATCAGCAGCAGTGGAACCATCGGACGATATTCCATCCAGTCTCGATTGAGTGGGTTCGGGCCCATCCGCTTCCACTGCAGCATCTGGAGGTTGGGACTCGGGCTCCGGGTGGAAGACATCGAGGCCTTGAAGAATCGCTCGCAACCTTTCTAGCAACTCCTTGGGAGAGTCGGGATCCGCTGAAACTGTCGATTCGTAGGTGGTGAAGACTTCTTTTATTGTTTGGCGAGCGATTGGCTCCGTAATCCAATGACACCAGCCGAAGTTATCGTCGGAATATCCATCCCAAAGTTTCAAAACGACATCCAGAAGTTCTCTGGAGCTTGCGGCAAAGACGGCTTGAACGCTCGTCGCAAATCGAATCTGATTTGATTTGCTTGAGCGTTTTACTGCAAGTCGATGTATTTCCTCTAGAGTCTCGACAGCTTTGTAAGGCAGTTGAGCCGAGGAACAACACTCCAAAAATTCCGACAGCAGATAAAGTCCTGCACCCTCAATTTCATCCATCCAGCAGCCCGTAAGGTCTCCCGTGTCCGGGGGAAGAATTCGATGAGTGACCAAAAAAACTCTCAAGTCTGCCGCAATCCTATCCTCCACCGACCAGCATACGTCGTCCAAAATCTTTATTTTGATGAGAGCTATGGTAGAACCGAAGTATTCCTGGGAGTCCAAGGACATTGCGTCTAAAGCGTCACCGTAACATTCGAAAGGATTGGTGGGAAAGTTCTCGGCGGTCAACGTATTGAGGCCGTGGTTGCACGAGTGTATGAACGCTAAATTCCACAAAGCCCTTCTTATGTCCCACCAGTCGGTATCGGTATCGTGGAGGGTTGGACGAACGCAAGGCCACACATAATTGCCTATGCAACTGTGACACAGAAAGTCGCCCAGAATACTGTGTGAACCGCGGCAACTGAGATAACAAATTATGCCAGATGGTATGGCAACAGGGTCTGTCGGTCGCCAAAAGGAACTAAGCTCGATCATTGCGGTGTCGAACCAGGAAAATTCAGAACCCACTGGCATGGACCCAGCATAACTATGTATACCAGCCTGGTGTACAACGCAATGCAGGTGTCTGTCCAGCATTTCTTGAATCATACAGAATGGGACGGAAGTATCTATAGAGATAGCGGCCTTCGTTTCGTCCCATTGGTATGGGCAGAAATCCAAGTGGGCGCAATTGCTGAGGTAGTTGAAGAGAATGGAGTAGGGAATAGTATTTCGAAGCGCCCGGACGATCTCGAGTTGTTCCATAATTTGAGATGGGGTCAACTGGCTGTCTGGGATGGGTTTCAACGTGGAGATTTCCTCGGAATGAATTGGACAAAATCCATATTCCCATAGCATAGACTTCAAGAAAGTAGCGGTAGGTACCAGAGGCGGTCTGAGATACTGTGAGGATCCAGCTGGACAGCGAACCAAGTATTGTTCACGTTCTTCAAGCCCAACATCGACGGTACAGAATGTGCTCCATTGCATCATTGCGTCAGCGGAGTAAGCATAATGGCCCAGTTCCCGCTGTGGGATACGGTATGCACGAAGTTCATGGAAGTCCACCGGAAGCTCGTAGTCCTCAGTCGGACTCGAGCGACGTCTCGCCAGACTTGCGATCGCCCAGAGTGCCTTGTAGCATGAGATTTGACGATATTGGCTAGCTTCGGGTGAGATAATTCCCTCTAGAGTGCCGGCATAGAGTCCATCGATGCGTGAGCATAACTGCACATCGCGATGATTTACCAGCCGTCGGATGTGATCGCAATACACTTCCCGCTGTCCTTGTCGTCCCCACGATACTTTTTGTCCCTGGAATACTGTTTGGCCCCATAGAACGTCGGGAAGGGCGTCTACAAATGGTTCCAGCTCGACGTCGTCTACAAGGGACTTGACAGTCCAGACGAGGGCATTGTAATCTCGCTCTCTCCTGGCAGGAGAATCCTCGATGGCTGTCCGAGCCATCGCTTCCATCATGGTGTCGTCCTGAGAGACATCTGGGTCGTCTCTGTCTCCATCGGCGGAAAGAGGACGGGCCCATATGATTCGGATGCGCTGGAAAAGACGCCAAAACGCGGCAGAAAGAGGTGTTCGATACGGACAATCCATGTATCGCAGAGGTAGGAAGGTGAGGATGGAGTATGTTGTTGCGACAAGAACGAGGAGAGCGGCGGCGATGGCAGTCATGATTATGCTCACTGGGATGAGGAAGACGACGAGCCCAGCAAAGAAGAAGAGGAGGGATGCATGCAGGAGGAGTGGGATGACGTCCACCACTACGTGCATGTTGAACGTCTTCATGCCGTAGTATAGATAAGAGTAGATCCGCGCCCGTATTAGCGGAGCAGAGCGCATGTCGGCCCTGTGTATGAAGTCCCGGGCCCACTGCTCCAACAATGTCGCAATAAGGGCGCAGGTCAGACTGAGGCCGAGACTGATAAACCAAAGGGCGTTACAGATAATGGATGTTGAGGATGGGGTGAAAGCGGGTAGTGGACCTGAGATCGGGAATGCTGTTCCATTGGAGCCGGACGCCAGCTGCTGCGATATCTGCGCCAGAAGCTGCACGGTTTGATCTCCTGAATCGGGGCTAAGTGTTTTGTAGCTCTCGACGAGGAAAGCAGTCAAGCTCGCCGAGAAGAGACCGGCCTGCGAAATCAGGTCAGGCGAATGCTATTACATCGTTCGAGACTCACAAATATGAGCATGCCTTCCATATCGCTCTTCCAGCTTTCGACAAGCGACTTGTCGTACTTCTCCGCTTCCGATATGTACACGGCCCAAAGCTTGGCGGCGACACCCTCATCCCTTGTAGGATTGGTGGCTGATGTAATTTTAGAAGCACTCGGGCTGGGATGGGGTGAAGCCAACGTACCCTCGCGTTTCGTCTTGCCTTTCTCTTTGTCGCTCATGGTGGTTGGGACGACAGAGAGGTAGTCGTGACTTGATCGTGATCTGTGGGCGTTAAAAGAAGCCGCGGTGA